TTATTATAAGTTAATTTAATATTATTAAAGTTATAAATATTTAAATAAAGTTTATATTTAAAGTATAAAGAAAAAGGTTTACTTTTTATTATTATAAATTTATTATTTATAAGATATTATTTAGCTAAAAAATTAAAATTATAAGTTAAAAACTTGCATTTTAAATAATATATAAGCCTTAATTATTACATTACCCCCTTTAAAGCCCTTATAAAGCATTAAGTATTATTAAAGTAAAGATATAATTTTAAATAACTTTATATTAAATTAATTAACAGCCTTATAAATAGCTTAAAAATTAAATAAAATAAAGCTTTAATAACTTAATAAAGTTACCTTAATAAACAACCCTTTATAATATTATAGCTATTAAATACTTACCCCTTTAAATAATTTTTTAATTAAAGAGCTTAAATCTTAATTATATAACTTATAATTATTATAAATTTATTACTTATAAGATATTACTTAATTAAAAAACTAAAATTATAAGTTAAAAACTTATATTTTAAGTAATATATAAGCCTTAATTATTATATTTATTTATATTTATATTAAAGCTTATTTATATTTATATTAAAGCTTATTTTTATAAGGTTAAAGTTTATTAATTAATTATAATAAATAAAGCTTAAATTATAATAAGTTTAAAAAGGTAATTATTTAATAAAAAATAAAAAATATTATAATTTAATTATTTAATTATTTTTTAATATTTTTTAAATAAATTAAAAACTTAACTTATTTTTTATAATTAATGTATTTTTAATTTTAATAATTTAATATATTAAATAATAAAAAAAAAATTTAAATTAATAATATTTTTATAATTTTTTAATATTTAATATATTAATAATTTACTTTTTTTATAAATTTTTTTAAGTTAAATATATTTTATAATATTATATTAATTAATATATAATTAATATATTTTAAGCTTAAATTAATATGAAATTAATTATATTTTAAGCTTTAGTTTATAAAAAAAGTTTTTTATTAATTTTATTTAATAAAATTTATATTTTTATTTTTTTATAATAATTAAAATAATTATATTTATAATATTTAAATTAATTATATATAAATTATTTAATTTTATTTATTAAAATTATTATAATATTAATATTTATATTATAATTTAAGCTTTATTTATTATAATTAATTAATAAGCTTTAAGCTTATTAAAATAAGCTTTAATATAAATATAAATAAAAAATAAACTTTTTTCTTTATATTTTAAATATAAACTTTATATAAATATTTTATAATAAATAATTTAAAATTAATTTATAATATATATTTAAAGTTTTTTATATTATAAATTTATAATATAATTATATAAAATTTAATATAATAAAACTTAAAAAAAATAATAATAATTTATTAAGCTTTTCTTTATTTTAAAGAATTTTTATTTTAAAGATATTTAATAATTTAATTAATAAAAATAAAAATTAAATTTATAATAAATAAAGAAATAATTAATATTAAAAAAACTTAATTCTTTTATATTTAATTAATTAAAAACTTTTTATAATTAATTTTTATTTTATATTAATTTTATAAAAGTATTTAAAAAATAATTAAAAAGCTTTTTAAAAAAAGATTATTTTATATTTAAGACTTTTTTAAATAAAAGTATATTAAGCTTAGCTTAATTATATTATAATAATGTTATAAAGAAAAAATAATAAAATATTTTATTTAATTTAATTAATTAACTTATATAATAAAAACTTAAAATTAATTAAATAAATATAAAATATTATTAATAATTAATAATTTAACTTTTATAATAAAAGCTTAGCTTAATTATAAAAAATAATTAAATATATTTAAAGCTTTTTATTTTATTTTATAATAATATAAAAATATTTTTAATATTATAATAAAAAAATATTTAACTTTAAAATAATAAAATAATAAATATTAATATTATAATAATTTTAATAAATAAAGTTAAATATTTTATATATAATTATTTTAATTATTATAAAAAAATAATAATATAGCTTTTATTAATTAAAGTTAATAAAAAAGAATTTATTTAAAAAAATATAAAACTTTTTTTATAAAATAAAGCTTAAAATATTATTACTTTAATATTAATTTAAATTTAAAGTAAATTAATTATATATTAATTAATTTAATATTATAAAATACTTAAAATTTAAAAATTCTTTATTAATAAAGTAAATTATTTATAATTAAATATTAATTAATTATAAATTATATAATAAATTTATAATTTTAAAGTTTTAAATAAAAAAGCTTATATAAAAAGCTTAAATTAAAGAATTATAAAAATGCTATTAATTTAATTATTAACTTATATTTATATAATTATTTTTTATTAACTTACTTTAATTAATATATTAAATTATAAAAATTAAAAATATATTAATTATAAAAAATAAGTTAAGCTTTTAATATATTTAAAAGGTATGAAAATATAATTAAATAATTAAGTAAAAAGTAATATTTAATTTATAATTAAATTATAATATTTTTTATTTTTTATTATACAATTATTTTTAAGGCTTATTATAAAAACTTAAAGAAAAAAAATATATTATAATTTAAGCTTTATTTATTATAATTAATTAATAAGCTTTAACTTTATAAAAATAAGCTTTAATATAAATATAAGCTTTAATATAAATATAAATAAAAAGTAAACTTTTTTCTTTATATTTTAAATATAAACTTTATTTAAATACTTTTTAATAAATAATTATAAGTTAATTTATAATATTTAAATTAATTTTCTTTATATATTAACGTTTTTTTTATTATAAAAGCTAGGAAGGTAAAATATTATTTAAGCTTTATAATATAAAAGCTTAAAATATATATTAAATTATATAAATTTAAAGAATATGCCAGCCTAAAAAGGAAAAAAGAGGAAGGAAGGAAGGAAGGCTTTAAAGGAGCCTTTTAGGCTGCAGCTATAAGGCAGGAGGGGCTTATTAATAAGGGGGCCCGTGCAAGGCCTTGCACGGGCCCAACCGCCTTGCCCCAGCCGCCAGCCTTAACTAAGGGGGGGGGAGTAATATAAGTAGGTATATAAGTAAAGAACCTTATTAATTATAAGTAATTATTAAGGCTTTAAGCCTTATATTCTTTAAGCATAAAACCCTTGCCTTATAATTTTTATAAAACTTTTTTTTTATATAAAAAGTAATATTATTTTAATTTAAATTAATATATTAAAAATAATAACCTTATTTTTATATTTTCTTTTATAATATAATATATTTATTAATATAAATAAAAAAATAAACCTTATTTATAAATAAAGCTTAATTAAAAACCTTTATTATTAATATTTTATATTTTATTTAATTATTTATTTATTTTTAATAATTAAAATATATAAAATAAGCTTTTAATATATATTTTCTTTATTATTTAATTTCTTTTATTTTAATATTTACTTATTTAAAAATCTTAAATAATTTATATTAAATAAACCTTACTTAATTTATTAATTTATTTAATAAAAAAAATATTATTTTAATATAAATTATATATATTATTATTATTATAAATATAATATTTTTAAAAATAAGCTTATATTAATATTATTAATTATAAATAAATTATTTTTAATATATATAAAATATGTTTTATATTAAGCTTAATTTTTTATTTAATTTTTTAATTATAAAGTTTTATTTTTTAATTATACTTTAAATATTAAATTTAATATTTTTTATAAAATATTTTAAAAACTTAATATTATATAAACTTAAGTTATATATAATGTTTATTTTAATATAATGAAATAAAATTAAATATCAATATAATTATTTAACTTAAAAATATAAAAAGCAAAAAAAGGTATTAAATTTAAAGGTAAATTATATATTTATATTTATCTTTTATATTTAATATAATTTTAAAAGAGTTAATAAGTTATTTATATTCTTTTTATATTATTTAAAGCTATTAATTTCTACTTTTTAAAAAAGGTTTTAATTATTTAATATAATAATATTTTATATTTAAAAATATAAAGTATAAGTTTAAATAATATAAAATAATTAAATAACGTTAAAGTTAAAATATAAAAAAGAAAAAAAAGAAGTTTAAGCTATTATTTTTATTATATAAGATAAAAATGCAGGGCTAAATTAAAAATTATAAGACTTTATTAAATAAGCTAATAAGGCATTTAGCATTTAAGGGTTAAGTAAGTAGCTGCTAAGAAATGGGCTGCTTACCGCGCTTATGTATATCTTGGTTCCTGGCAGTAATAATTAATTGCTAACGTAAAGTAATATTTGCGTAAAGTTAAACATTTTTCTTTTTAAAAGTGGTAAAAGGAGAATAGTTAACGTAGTTGGAGGGGGATATGATGGAAGGAGGTGGTGTGTATGGTGAGCATTAGTAATTATGGGTGAGGCGTGCATAGATAATTGCGGCCTGGCTGACTAACCAAGTCGGGACGTCAACAGCCCCGCCGTGAGGGTAACTACCTAGGTAGTACAGCGGCTGCGGTAGAGTGGGCAGTCTGGACCAAGCTAGCAGTCTTCCACACGTGCTTGGCAGTGGCAGCAAGTAAACGTCGACGCTGTGAGCCTCAACCAGTCCAAGCATCGGAACTCTACTTGGAGCCCCAATCTCGGGCTGCCACCTTCGCGGATCAATAACACGGCCGCCAACGCTGTTCCTCGCTGCCCACAGCAGATCCCCCACGTCGGAGCCCCTGATTGTCGAACTCACCCCTTTCAGAGTGCTGTCCACAAGCCACAGTGTACGGAGTGATCCTGAGGTCTACAGCCGGGATACCTTGGTCCTCGGTCGCTTTTCAGAACACCTGAGAGAATCGCCCACAAGCAGGGTTGCCATCCGGGAACGCAATACGCCTGCAGGCACCTTGCCTCGGGGCACGGTTTTGTGACTGCAGCGGAGGCGAAGGCTGTCTCAATACCTCTGTTTGGTGTTCTTGGGTCTGCAGGTTGCGATCTTGTTTGGGATTGCATGCCGCCGAAGCCATGGCGTCATTACTCCCTCTGCTCTACGACTTACTGCCTATAATCATGCCCTCAGAGGTCCAAATCTCCCATGAAAAGGATTTGACAGCCATTCCTGAGCGGGCCGAGGGGCCTCCCTATCACCAGACACAGCGAACCGACCGTCAGGTGGATCTGGCGTCATGGGAGAACAAGCGCCAGGCTGTACTAAGCACCTCTGATGACCCAGCGGGCTTCCAAGTAGAGCCAGGCCAGGGAAGGTCTTGTGAGCCGATAAAATTGCTTGATCGCGAAGGGGACTCGGCTGTTCAATCTGTGCCCGAGCCTCGCCATCCAGCCTCGAGGGCACAGGCCAGCGGTCCAAAGGTATTCCGCAGAGACGCATTGACAGGTGTCACAGACAAGATGTGTGCAACAGGTTAGTCCACGCCCTTGATTATCAACTTTGTCTCGGCGACTGGCCAGTATTTCTCCATGTGTGTTTTCCTTCTTCTGTGGCTCTTTCTCTCGACTTGGGCTTTGCATTGAAGCTTGCACTACAGTTGGGACATTATAACCAGATGCTCTTGCAATAGTTCTCACAGTGGAGCCGAGATCTGCTTCCGCAGTGCACCATCACGGTGAGCAAGGTGAGCGTGGAATCGGCTCTCGCTTCATTCCAGGGCTGCAACCTAACAAGTCACTCTCAGACACCATAGTCTATGTCACTAGCGGTCACGGGGTCCTTCTCACTAGTCCTGCTGTGGACCCTGTCAGGGCCATCAGAGCAGATATCAAGGGCGAGGCGCCTACCCGTGAAGAAGAGCAGCCTCGGCGTCACGAACTTTCGCCTGGCGATTTCGCCTTTATCCCCGCATGGACAGAGCATCAAGTTGTGAACGAAGCTGATGAGGGTGATATCGTCTGGGTGTTGGTTCAGAGTGGAGGCGAGCGGGTGCAGGTCGATTTGACGGGCTGGGGTGGAGAGACGGCTCAGCGATAACGTGGACGAGGAAGCTCTCGCGAGCCATGGCAGGGTTTCCCGGTATGGCCCCGAACTCTTTACCTGCGCTTGCTTCTTGGGCAATCTCAAGTTCAACTCAGGCATAAACAGTACGTGTCCGCCGTGTCACTGTTGGATCTACCTTTCAAACAATGCAGGAGTTATGTGACAGATAGTTGGCAATCTAGCAAGGTTGGTGTTCCCCTCGTCTTGTTATTCTGGATCCCCAATGAGCCGTTATCTTATCCCCATCGTGGCTAAACATCTGTGCACTTTGCCTGCACTACCGTACTTTGGTACGCTATGCCATATGATACTGTCTAATGAGAGCGTCTCCGTTGTATCGGCCAATCCCCCCTAGGGCTCTGGGCACTCTGCAGCACATGTAGCGTCGAGTCCTTGGTAGCTAACCGGAAACTCTTCCCATGTGGTACGAAGATTGCGAGGCCCAGGACGGACAGGCCAACTGTGATAGCCATCAAGGACAGCACAGGAGTGACGGCGGGTTTGAACACATAAAAGATTCAGTCTAACATATTCGGTTGTTTGGGACAAGAGATATGGTACCGCAACGTGGAAGAACTGCGTGACTGTTGGTCTTTGATATCACCCATGAGATGAGCAAAGCTGAACCGCGCTGGGAGTCGCGTCAATGAGTCAAGATTGTTCACTGATATGCTAATGAATATGAAGAACCTTGCATAAATTCACATCACCCACTCGATACGGGAGCAGTCCAACCGTCTCATGTAACTGCTGCTGTTTGAAAGCTTCCAATGCAGAGAGGAATGGCAACATTAGCTTTAACTGAGCCCACGCCAGTCGATCCTGACACCTGGCACACCGTATGAGATGCTTCTCATGTCCCAGAGAGTTGACATCCACTCCGCGGGCGGGTCGTCTCATGTGCATATAATCTTAAGACCGTTCCAGCGAGAAACTGGACATCCACAGCGCCGCTGGTCAAGCTTAGGTATCTGCGATCAGCCTCGATCAGAATTTTCCGAATCCCCCTCCCGACACACTCGCCGACAAGACCTACCATACAATCTTTGCCATCTCTCGATCTGGAAGTCCCTTTTCTTCGCAAGCCCACTCACCCCACCCGCCTCAAGCATGGCCTCTCCGGGAGAGCCGTCGCCTGACTCTCCGAGTGAGGCCAACAATGGCAACTTCCCCGCCGAGAAGTCGCACCATGATGACCGAGACCTTCGCGAAGTAGTCACCGAGGGCGACCACGATCGACCGAATTGGTGGCCAAAGGGAAACGAGGAGCTACCCAACCTCAACATCCCCAAGTCTGGAATCGTTGAAACAAAGAGAAAGGAGATTCTCAACAGACACGACCTCACAGAGGGTGACTGGAAACTCCTTCAGTATGGTACTACGACTGTTGGCGTTCATGAGAATAGAAACAGCAAGGCGTGGAGAGCAGCATTTCTGGGGTTCAACAGCCAACCCCTGTGCCGGTATTGGTTGCACACGAGTGGTGAGATCCCCCCCTCCTTAAGAAACCTAACATGCATCGACTTCTTCGAAGATGTCCTGTTTCTTCCATCCCTGACATTTTCGGGTGACTTTTAGTGGCCCAACATTGCCAAATCTACTTCAAATACAGACAGGACGGTACCACCCCAAAGTCAACCCCTGACGTGTCCAGCATGATCGCCAAGGTCCATCGAGAATGCCTGGACGGTTCAGAACTTGCACAGGCTCTGGAGAACGGAGTATTTCCTATCCCACCCGAGGGATTCAACGTTGTCCTCAAGAATGATCAGACCGCCCTTCACACAACGGGTGTGAACACGATCGTAGCGGCATATCGACTTATGACCGCTGACAAACAACGGCTTACACAGTCCATTCGGACTAAGCAGGCCTGGCCAGCTGAGTACAAGGAGGGCGAGTGGACAACTCATCGCCTGGGCTTCTCCATGGATGAGTGGCTGCGTGCCATCATCGCAGTGACAGGATACTACAACGAGAGGGTGGCTGCAGCCAAGAATGGAGGCATCTACCGGTTTGAAGGCAAGAGGATAGCCAAGAACATTGAACCCTGGAAATGGATTGCTCCCGATCTGGCCGCAGCGGGGAAGCCGCAGGACGCGAAGCTGCTTGGTCTTGAGCACTCGGCCAAGCAGCAGCAGATAGGGGCCAAGAAATCACGGGGCCGTCAATCTACTGAACAAGTGCAGCAGTGGAAGATTGAAAGGGAGTTACTGCAGCAGAAACTTGCAGAGGAAGTGGAGGATTACGATTTTGCGAAGCAGGACCAGATTCAATACGAGCTCGACCTCATCGTCGAGGAGATCTTCACGGCAGAAAGCGACGAAACAGCTCCTGTCGAGGAACGGCGCCCTCTCAGTCAAGCGGACCGCGCAGTATTCATGGAAACACTTGAAGGGTCTATTATGCATGGCGTCGTTGTTGGCAAGTGCGACCCGATTGAACTCCCGGATGTCAGTGTGCTGGGCACCATGGATGACACCAAGGCAATGATGTTCGACACCCACAATGATGCTTTGATATCAGTTCCGGAAACTAGCGAAGAATCGGGCACAACTGCACAACAACAAGTTGGCGACGAGGAAGACGTCATCAACAGCGAGGAGACCGAGGCCTTGAACGCCAAGCTCAGAGCCGCCAGACGGAAGGAGGCACATGTCAGCAGCACGGCCATCATGAGCGGTGGCGCGCATGTTGAATACGATTCCCTGGAGAATTTCCTGAGAGAACTCCATCTGTGGCGTCACCGCGAGGGTGACGATGACTTCTATCTCCGGATTCCCACAGATAGGTTGGGCGATCGCTCCAACTCGGATGGGGGGTACTGTTGGTAGGTCTCTCGTACGTATAATAATCGTATGGGAAGCAATCGTGTATTGGTGTTGTTCTATCTAAGTTCTAAGAGGCTACGTGCCTTAGAGGGAATAACTAAAGTAGCCTCCTAAGTAATGAGGGTTATACTTATTAATACTTATAGTTTTTCTCTTCTTTTAATAAGTATATATAATCTTTATTATAAAAAAGCATTATTAAAAAGGCTTAAAATTATAACTTATAAGTTTTAAAGTAAATCTTAATAACTTTTATTATTATATTACTTTTTAAATTTATGATTTTTATTATTATATTATTCTTTAAATATTATACCTATTATCTTTAATATTTAGTTTTTAAGGTTACTTTTTTATAAAGATTATTAATTTTTATATAAAGGCCTTAATTTTAAATCTCTTTTTTATAAGGAAAGTTAATGCTTATAAAGTTAATATTAAACTCTTTAATTTATATTTATTTTTATTATATACCTTTATAATATAAATATTATTATCTTTATTTTTATTCTTATTATTAAAATATACTTAATATTACTTTAAATTATTTTCCTTTAGCTACTTTTTATTTTTTTAAAACTAAGCATTATAAATAGCTTAATTATTTATTAAATCTTTTTTTTTGCTTTTTATTATTCTTTTTAATTTTCTTAATAATTATCTTTTAATTAAATTGCTTAAGTAATAATATATATTTCTTAATAAATTCCTTTATATATAAGCTTTATATATGTTTATTAATAGTTTAATATAAAAAGTTTTAAAGCTAAGTTAGCATAATAATTTAATTCTTTAATAATTAAATCTTTTTAATTTAATATATATAAAAAATATTTAAAATTAAAATTCCTATTAAGTTATTTATTATAGAAATTATAATAATTTAGCATTTAAGATAATAATTACCTTAGTAATTTTTATTATTAAGGATATTATATAATCTTATATTAAGAGTTTTAATGCTTTTAATATAAATATATAGCTTTTTAATTATATTATTAAAAAATATTTACTTATTTTAATATTAAAAGTTATTAATAATTTAAATAATAGCTATTATAATAACATTATTTAAAAAAAGTATTTTAATTTAAGCTATAGCTATAACCTTTAGCTTATTAATTTTAATAATTTTATAAGAATTAATCTTAATAAATAGCTTACTTTTTTTAATATTTAGCATAAAAGTAAAGTTAAAGGTAATCTTTATAATCTTTATTAAGGTTTTATTAGCTTAGTTTTAATTATTTTTATTATTAATAATAATTAAATTACTATTAATATTAAGCAAATAAGAATTATTATTATTAATTTCCTTATTAATATTTATTAAATAAGCAAATAAATAAGAGTTATTATTATTAATATCCTTATTAATATTTATTAAATAAGCATTATTAATAATAACCTTGTTATAGGAATTAATAAAATTAATAAGCTTATCTTTATCCTTATTAATTAAGGTAATTTTAGCCTTTTTTATAATCTTAATAATAATTTTAATCTTTATATTATTGCTTAATAAGAATATAAGTATAATATTTATTTTATTAATTAAGGTTATAATTATAATATTTATCTTATTAATTAGGGTTATAATTATAATATTCATTTTATTAATTAGGGTTATAATTATAATATTTATAAGGAAATCCTAATTTTAGTTAAGAATTGCAATAAGTTTACCTTTAATATTAATTATATTAATGGTAATTATAATAATAATTATATTAAGTATGTTTTTAATGCAAAAAGCAAATATAATATTTATTAAATAATTTTGCTTGCTATTATTATTTTTATAAGGCATATTAATAAAAGTATTAAATAACTTTTATAAATTATTATTAATATTTTTTATTATAATAAAAAGGAAAAAGATTTTATAAAAATTTAGTAATTAAAATAAATATTTATAATGCAAAACTTTATAATTATTATATAATAATTATTAATTTATTCTTTAATTATAAAAAAAGTTAATAAATTATAAATAAATTTAATAAAAGTTAGTTTTAATATTATTATTAATAAATAATAATAAAAAGTAATAATAATAATAAAATTAACTTTAAAATAATAATTATTAATAATATTAATAATTATAAGGTTATCCTTATATATAATAAGGTATTAAAAAGGTTTTAATTAAAGTATAAAAGGTTAAAGTTTATATTAAGGGTTTAAGTTTAAAAGGTATAAGGTTTTATAGCTAATAATAGCAAGGTTAAAAGGAAAAGGTATTAATAATAAGTTGCTTTTTCTTTAATAAGAAGGAGCTACTTTAAATTTCTTAATTAACTTATCTACTTATATATAAAGCTTATTATTATTAATAAGCTTTTATAATATAATATTTAAAGTTAGTTTTATTATTACATTAATAAAGTTATTTTTTCTATTTATTTACCTTATTTTAATAATTTTTTTTATTTTATATAACTTTTATAATAATATAATATTAATTATAAGGCACTTTTTTTTATTATTCCTAGCTTTATAAGGCATTTATATAAGCTATATAAATTTATATAAATAATTAAAAATATATTTAACAATAAGAATTATCTTATAACTATTTTAATTATTATGGCTAAGGAAATTCTAATATTTATTTTATTTATTATATTATAAATTTCGCTTATTAATATGCTTTAAGTAATATATTTATACTTTATTAATAATTAATAAAGAATATTGCTTATTATTATAAATCCCTTAATTTTTTTATAAATCTTATTTATAAGGATAATAATATATTTAAGTTAAAATATTAAGTCTTAGTTATTTATAAATAATTTATTTATAAATATAAAAAGTTTCGCTATTTTAAGATTAAGGGGTATATATTTAATTCCTTACATAACATTATTTATTTATTATAATAATTATATATTTAAGCTCTTATAATCTCTTACCTTTAAATTTTATATTTATGCAGCCATTAAAAGATTATATAAAGCTTTTAATTAATAAATTAAAGCTATATATACTTCTTAAGCTTTTTATTTAAGGTATTTTTAAAAAGCATCTTTAATTATTATATTAATAAGGGTAAGTTTATTAACCTATTCCTTTTATTAAATAATAATTAAGCTAATAGTATTTATAATTATATAAGCTTTATTATAATTCATTAAATTTTTAAGTATTAGCTTTTATTTTAATTTTCCTTGCAATTTCATAGCTTTTATCTTAATTTCCTTCTTATCTTAAAATTTTAATATAAATAAAATTAATATATTATTTATTTATATATTTATTATTTTAAAGGATTATATAGGCTTTATAATTATTAAGCAAGAATTATATATAAAGCAATTCATCTTAAGCTTTTATTAATAATATCTTTAATATATATTAAATTAATAAATATTAAATTCTGCTATATTATATAAAGGTTAAATAATATAAATAATTATGCCTAAAGGGTATTTATTTTTTAATTTCTTTAATAGCTTTATAAGGATTATTTTGCATAGTTTTAACTTTACTTAAAAGTAAGCTTAAATAATATCTTAAAGTATAAAAACCATGCCTTTTTTTTAAATTAATAAAAGAGTAAGTATAAGAATTATTTATTAGCTTATTCTTTAAATAATTAAGCTTTATATTAAAATTAATCTCTTTTTATTATTATTATAACCTTAAATAATAAATTAAGATTTTTTATAAGGTTTTATGATTTTACCTTTTATCTCCTATATTATATAGAACTTAAAGAAATAATATTCACTATATTGCTTTGCTAATTATTTTTTAATTTAAAAAATACCTTTAGCAATAAGATTATTAATTTTCATTTTATTAAACTCTTTAAATAATAAGCCTAATATTATAATAATTCTATCTTATCTTAATTTAATTGCTAAGTTATAGTTTTTATTTTCTTTCTTTAAGATATATAATATAATAATATAGTCTTTTATCTTTAATAATGGTAATTATATAATAAATTGCATTTAAGGTTTTATAACTAAGTCTTTTATTTATAAGGATTGCATTTCTTTATTATTATCTTAATAATATAATTAAATAACTATTAATTTAAATATTATGGCTTTATTTAGCATATTTAAGGTTATATTATAATTATTTATAATAATAATCTTATATAAATTCTTTTATCTTTCTTTCTCTTTATATATATAAACTTTGCATTATAGCAAATATTTTATATTAAAGATAAGTTTAATTTTAATATTTAATGTATTTTATACTTATTATTTAGTTATAATTTTTTATAGCGTCTTTATAGCCTTTAAAATAACTTTTACTTACTTTTATATTAATAATAATAATAATAACTTATATAATACTTATAAATAAACGTTAAAAATTAAAAGCATAAAAACTAATTTATTTAATTTAATAATATTATTAATAGCTTTTATAGCTATTTATAAGATAACATTATTATTTATGTTATTATGCAATTTAATATATAAGATTTTATATATTTATTTAAAAGCTTAATAATATCTTTTAACTTTCTTAATAAATTAATATGCTTTTATAAGAACTTATTTATATTTAATTCCCATTATTTATGCCTTTAAATAAAATTTTAAGAATATAAAGTTTATTCCTATATTATATTTAATAATATTTAATAATTCTTAATATATATTAATTTAAAGCATTTGCAGTATTTACCATGCAGTCTTTGTAAATATAAATTTTAAGAATTTCGCTTCTTAAAAAGCAATAACCTAATTTATAACGTAAAGAACCGAGCGTTTGCTTAAATATATTATATTAATTAAGATTTTATAATTAAATTTATAATTATTATATAACATAAACTTAAAATACTTAAATGCAAGTTTATTTATTTAATAATAATAATATATTTTTTTAATCTTTATTATTACTTATTTATTAATATTTAAATTACCAGCTTTTTTAAGCATTTAGCATAATTAATTTATTAATAAATATTTAAAGTAATGATAAAGTCTCTTTATTTCTATCTTTAAAAGGAAATATATAGCATTAATAATTTAATTTAAGAAAAACTATAAGTAACTTTATTTTTTAAGTATTAATATAATAATTACATTATTAAAGGAAATTATTTCATTTATAATATTATTATAATATACTTAAAGCTTATTTATATTTATTAAGTAAAGCAGAAATAAGGTTTATGCTTAAATAATATAAAAGTTAATATAATTAATTAAGATAAAAACTTTTATTATATTAAGCAAATTAATAATTATCTTATTATTAAATTTAACTTTAGCTTTTTTTATAGCGGTTATATTAATTTAATACTTTAAATGTTCTTATTATAATGTAAGAAATTGCTTATATTTAGCTATAAATATTAATAATGCTTTTATATTTAGCAAAATTCCTTAAAAATAAATTTAATTATATTTATTCTTTAAAATAAATTAGCTAGTTATAATAATTATCTTTATTTAAAAGATATTATCTTTAATAATTTAATATATAAATGCTTTATTAACTAAGGAATTAATATTTATATAATAAACTTTTTTATTAAGTTTTATCTTTATAATATAAGCATTGCTATTATAATTATTATCTTAATTTTATTTATTTTTATATTTATAAAATTTATCTTTATTATTTATCTTATATTTCTTAAACTTACTTAAAAAAATATTAAAATTATTCTTATAACTTTTATATTTATATTATATTAAGTAGCTTTTTTTTACTAAATATTATTTATTAGCTAAATGTTTAATTAATTAATATCCCTTCTTTTTATAAATATAATATCTTTTCTTTTAAAGTTATCTTCTTTCTCCTTTATAAGTATTATTACTTTAAGCTTTATAACTAATACTATAAGATCTTAACTACTTAAAGCTTAAATGACTTGGGTTTAATTAGCTAAATCTTTAATTTCCTTAAAATGCTTAAAATTATAATTATTATTTTCTCCTTAGCTTTTAACCATTATATTTATAATTAATATAATATTAATTTAAGATTTTATTTATAATATAAATTATAATTATATAGCTAAGCTATATTTTTATTATAAATCTTAAATTTAAAAATAATTCTTTATATAATTAAGCTAACTTAAAAAAAGCCATTTTTAGCTTAAGAACTCCTTTATAAGCTTTAATTATTATTATTTTTAAATTATCTTTCTTAACATAATTTTAATTTAATACTTATTAATAAAATTATAGCTTATTAAGCATTAAATATAAAACCTTATATAAGTTTTTATTTAGGTTTTATGCTTTTATCTTTATAAATATTATTATTATTTAATTTATATAATAATATTAATAATTAAGATTTATATTAAAATGTATTTTAATTTTAAGATATATTATTATAAATATATTAATTTAATTTATAAAATAAAGATAATAGGCCTTAGCTTAATTTTTAAGCATTTAAGGAAAAACTATATAAAATTAACTTAGTTAAATTTTAATATAATAATAAATATTAAAAAATATCTTTATCTTATTATTTAACAAATTATATAAATCCTTAATATACTTATAAGAATTATTAAAGGTTTTTATAAACTATGCTAACTTTACTAAATCTAAGCGCTTATTAAAAATATATTATAAGAAAAGAGTTTTATATAAATTATACTTCTTATTTAGCGAAAGAGGCATTTCCAAGGTAGCCTAAGGTTATGCTAAGTATAATATATATCTTTAATATAAGCTTTATTTCTATCTTTCCATTAATAATAATAAGCCTTGCTAACTATACTAATTTTTAATAAATTATATTACTAAGTTTAAGTTTTATAATTATATACCTAAAGCTAATGGCAATAATAAATATTATCTTAAGGATTATTTTCCCAATAATTATTATTATTTAAAGCCTACTTATAGCTTTTATAAGAGCTATGCTTATAATTATTATTTTTAAAATTATATATAATATTTATTTATGCTTAATTTTAAGGTTAATAGGGCATTATAAAGCTTATTATTAATTCATTTTAATTTTTTCTTAGCTTAAGTTATAGCAATTAATTATAATGCCATAAGTTAATTATTATATTTTATATAAATACCTTACATTTAAAGAAAGACTTTTAAGCATTATTAATAAGGATTTAGCAATATTTTAAATATTACTTATATTCATATTATATAATTCTTATAATAAATAATAAAAAAATCATTATTATAAAGATTTTATTATATATAACTTATTAAAATACTTATTAAATAAGTAATTAAGTATTTTATTAATACTTTTTATGTAAGGGTTATAAATTATAATTTTAGGTTAATATATTTATAATAAGCTAAGTTAATTAAAATTTAAACAAGCATTTTATTAACTATATACCCTTTAATAAAAGCTAATAGCTCCTTAGCATTATTAGCTATGCTTATAAGTTTTTATAATAAATATTATAAGAAATAAGATTAATAAAATAAAGAAATATTAATAAAATAAATAATATTTAAAAATAAGTTAATAATAATAATTTAATAATAAGTAAGTTATAATTATTAAAAGGAAAAAGTTATTAATTTCTTTAAGCCTTAAAAGTTAGGGCTTTTTCTTATTATTAAGTTCTTTTATATTAGCTAAAAGTATAATGCATAATTTATACTTACTTATAATATAACATTATATTAGCTTTAATAGTTATAATAATTATAAGCTTTATTTATTTAATAATTATAATAATTATAAGCTTTATTTATTAATAAAATAAAGCTTTATTAAATTTTATTAAATCTTAAAAAAGATTTAAAAATAAGTTTATTTTTAATAAAGTCTTATATATAATAAATATATATTTCTTAAATAGCAATAAATATATATATAAATATTATAGAAAATGCTACTTAATTTATTTAATCTTTATAATATTTACTTAGGAAGTTTAATAATGCAAGGAGGCTTAAAAAAGCAATTATTGCTATATAACGTTTATTAATAAAGAAGATATAATTTTTAAGTTAAGGAAATCCTTATAAAGTTGCCTTTTTTATCTTATTAATTTATAATACTTATAATCATTAATTAATATTAATAAGTTTCTTATATGTATAATAATTATATGGAAAGCAATTATATATTGGTATTATTCTATTTAAGTTCTGAGAGGCTACGTGCCCCGCAGGGGATAACTAAAGTAGCCTCCCAAGTGACGAGGGTCGTACTTGCCAACAGGTACCGTTGCTACAAGGCTCACCAGTTGATTGGTAAGTACTCTGTTAAGAAACTGAACATCTAGCAGGGCTCTCGGTAGATGATCAGCTTCTTAACACATTTCAATTCGTTCCCATATCAAAGTGTATGTCATACTGACCCATATTTAGAGATTGCAAAGCTAAGACAGCTCGTGCGTGGTGCTCTGCGGTTTGGCTTCTTGGCCAGTGACTGTGGTGTCGGCAAGACAGTCATATTCACCGGCCTAATTGACTTGATGCACGCCGAGGACGGAAGAATGGCCGACAGCAGCGGGCAACAAGTATACCTACCGAACCTCGTCCTCACTCTCGCGAGCCTGGTTCAGCAGACCGTTGCGGCTATGCGCATGTTTTTCAGCTCCACACTAGATGTTGGACTGGACGGCAATGAAACCGAAGGTGACCCGACACCCGAGCCGAAGAAACTTGGACGCAAGCGCAAGGCGAAAGCCAAAAAGGAAAAGGAAGACAAGCACAAGAACATCGAGGTGACGAAGATTGACGAAGTTCTAAAATTGGTATTCAACTTCCTCATCTTGGACGAGGCGCATTATGCCAAGGCAGAGGCCAGCAAAGCCACGAGGTTTGTCAACAGTATTCAGGCTAGGATGAGGGTCCTCAGCACAGCTACACCGTTGAATCACCCACGGGACATCATATCCTACGTGAAGCTCGGTGTGCTCGAAGCATCGCCCGATCTATCATTCCTCGAAAAGTTCGTTCCCAGAAAGATGGACCTCAGACTGATATACGACGATGGAATCGACCCTTATCACCTAACCGGATCGAAAGGTTACACTGATGTCTATGGAGTGGAGCACCCGGTCGACACGAACGTCACGAAAACGTTCTTGGTCAAGGATTCCAATGATCCAGTGATGCAGCAACTGTGCAGATTGTACGACAAGGAGGGTTTCGCATGGTGGAAGGTGCATCTAAATATTTATTTAATAATAATAACAAAAATTGAAAATTAAAAATCTTTTAAATAAAAAGAAAATATAAAATTTAATTTAAACTTATTTTAAATTATAATTTTAAATTAAATTATTAAAAATATATTAATTAAATATTATATTTAAATATAATAAAAATATAATATATATATATAATATAAATTTAAATTAATTTAAAAAAGTAATTTATATATATTTATTTATTTTTATATTAATAATATTTTATTAAATATAATATAATTTATTAATAAATAAATAAAATATTAATATTAATTAATATTAATTACTTTTATTTTTTATTTTTAATTAATTTTATTAAATTAAAATAATTAATATAAATATAATATAAATTTAAAAAAATAAATAATTTTTTATAAAAAGTTTATATTTTATATTAAATAATATTATTAATATTATTAAAAATATAATTTATTATAAATTATTAAAATAAATATATTAATATTATTATTTATTTTATTATATAATTATAAATATATTATTTAAAAAATAATAATATTAAATATAATAAATATTATAAATAATTAATATTAAAATATTAATAAATAAAGTTTATATATAATAATATATAATTATTTTTAAATAATTTATAATAAAAAAAAAGTTTTATAATTTATAATTATAATTTTTTTATATAATTAATTTAAATATAATTAATAATTATTTATAAATAATTATAAATAATAAAATAAATAAATATTAAATTTATATTATTATTAATTAAATAATTAATATTAATATTATAAAAATAAATAATTATTAATAATAAAACTTTATTTAATTAAATATTAATAATTTAATTATAATTAAAATTAATAAAAAAAATTAAAAATATTTTAATTTTTTTATTATAAAAATTTAATTTATTAATTAATAAATCTTTAATAACATTTTAAATTTAATAATTATATAATATGTTTTATTATATAATTAATATTAAAAATATTTATAATTATTTTATTTTAATATAAATAATAATTTATATTTATTTAAATTAATAAATATTTTTAATAAATATTTTAAAATAACTTTAATATATTTCTTTAATTACCTTTTTTTTCTTTATATATAAATTATATATATATATTAATAATTTAATAATAATATTAAAAAAATATTTTTAAATATTAATAATACTTTTATATAAAATTTTTAATTATTTTTTAATTTTAATAAAAAGTTTTAAAGTTAATAAATAAATTTTAATTATTAAAATAAATTAATAATAAAAGTAAATAATATAATTAATTAAATAAATATTATTATTTTTTAAATTTATAAAATAAATAATAAAATAATAAAATATAAATAATAATTTATTTTAATATTTTATAAATAATTTTATTTTTTAAAATATAATAATAATTAATAATTTAATTTTTATAATAAAAGCTTAATTTAATTATAAAAAATAATTAAAAATACTTAAAGCTTTTAATTTTATTTTATAATAATATAAAAATATTTTTAATATTATAATAAAAAAATAATATTTAATTTTAAAATAATAATATAATAAATAGTAATATTATAATAATTTTAATAAATAAAGTTAAGTATTTTATATATAATTAATTTAAATTTTATAAATATAATTATTTTAATTATTATAAAAAAAATAAAAATATAACTTTTATTAATTAAAATTATATAAAAAGAATTATTTAAAGAAATATAAACTTTTTTTATAAAATAAAATTTAAAATATTATTAATTTAATATTAATTTAAGCTTAAAATAAATTAATTATATATTAATTAATTTAACTTTATAAAATATTTAAAATTTAAAAATCTTTTATTAATAAAATAAATTATATAATAAATTTATAATTTTAAAGTTTTAAATAAAAAAGCTTATATAAAAAGCTTAAATTAAAAAATTATAAATATATTATTAATTTAATTATTAATTTATATTTAAATAATTATTTTTTATTAATTTATTTTAATTAATATATTAAATTATAAAAATTAAAAATATATTAATTATAAAATAAATTAAGCTTTTAATATATTTAAAAAATATTAAAATATAATTAAATAATTAAATAAAAAATAATATTTAATTTATAATTAAATTATAATATTTTTTATTTTTTATTAAATAATTATTTTTTTAAGCTTATTATAAAAACTTAAAAAAAATTATATTATAATTTAAGTTTTCTTTATTATAATTAATTAATAAACTTATAAAAAAATATATAATTATTATTTATAAATTATATTTCTTAATTAAAAAATTATAATAATTAATTTAAAAAATTAATTATTTTAAATAATATATAAAGTTATATTATTATAATTTTCTTTAAGGTTTTTTTATAAAGTTTTAAAATTATTATTAAAGATTAAGCTATAATTTAAAGTTAATATATGCTTTATAAAAAGCTTAAAAATTAAATAAAATAAGTTTTTTAACTTTATTTAAATTATGCTTTTTATTAATATAAAATAATTCTTTATAATATTATAAGTTAAAAATCTTTTCTTATTAATTTTTTAATTAAAAAGCTTAAATCTTAATTATTAAATTAATTATTAAAAAAATATATAATTATTATTTATAAATTATATTTTTTAATTAAAAAATTATAATAATTAATTTAAAAAATTAATTATTTTAAATAATATATAAAGTTATATTATTATAATTTTAACTTTATAAAAATAAGCTTTAATATAAATATAAATAAAAAATAAACCTTTTTTATATTTTAAATATAAACTTTATTTAAATATTTTTAATTATAAAAATATAAAGTAAATTTATAATATTAATTAATAAAATAAATAATAATATTAAAAAAATAATTTATAATAAATTAATTAAATAATAATATAATAATTATAATAAAATTAAATATAATATAAAAATTTATAAAAAAAAAGAAAAGTTTAATTAATTAAATTTTAAATAAATTATAATTTTTTTAACTTTATTAATATTAATTAATATTAATATATATATTTAAATAATTTATAATAAATTATATTTTTAATTTTATTATTTATTTTATTAATTAATATTAAATATATATTTTTTTATTAAATATTAATTATTTTAAATTATTATTAATTAATATTAATAAAGTTAAAAAAGTTATAATTTAATTAATTTTTTATATTAAATAAATATTAAAGTTAATAAAAATTAATTATAAAATAATATTAATTATTTAATAATAAATTATATTATTTATAATTATATTATTATAATTTAATAATTTAAAATTTTATTATAAAAAAAGTTTATATAATATAAATAAAAATAATTAATTTCTTAAATAACTTAAATAAATAATTTTTTACCTTAAAGATAAACTTAATTTTATTTAAGCAATATATATACCCAACCCCCCAACTTGTTTACATTATTTATAGTGTGTTTACTCTTTTAGTATGGGTTGGTGAGTTTCAAGCTCCCAGCCAAGAGTAAGGAGCTCCCGGTTGCTAGCCCGTGTAGGGTGACGACGCCTGGGTACAACTTCGAGTTTGTGTACCTAGGCATTTAAACAGCATCGCAGTACCAAAGGATCGGGGGAGGTTCAACTAGCTAGCTCTATCTGCAGCTCCTGTGGCAACCCCCCGGTGCCGTTGTCAACTCGACCGAGATCCCAGGATTCAGGACTTTTTCTGTCCAGCCTTCATCATGATGCAGACGGCGGCCAGACATCAAGACAACTCACCCAAAGTACAGGCCACTGTCACCGTGGTAAAATAGCAACCGAAATGGAGGCGGTCCCCGTGGTAGAGTACCCAGCCAAGCAATTTGGTTTTACTAGAAGAGGTGCATCCTCCCAAAAGCCCAAGGCATTAATTGTCATCTTACCGGCCCCTTGCCCTCCGTCTCCCAAACAGACAAGAGGCCACAGCAGGTCAAATCACAAAGCAGACACGGGGAAGCCATCCTTTTTCAGCTGCATGGATTTTTTTTTTGTAATTGCAGACATCAAGCGTCATTAATGAGTGTCTACCTTGTGAGACGTCCAAACCATCCCCAACATTTTCATCATGGTAGCATGAGACCCAAACCCTGCCCGAACTTTTCATGTCATCATGAGACCCGAACAAACACTTAGCGAGACGACATGGCCTTGGTGACAAGCCGCTTGAGAGCAAGCTCCTTCTTCTTGAGATCCTCCGCGGTCGAGTCCTCCACCTCCAGCTGCGACATGGCCTCCGAGAGCGTCTGCTCAATCTTGTCCTTTTGGCCGCGCTTGAGCTTGAGCGACAGAGTCGGATCCGACACGATCTCCTCCACCCGGGTGATGTACGACTCCAGCTGCTGCTTCGCCTCGAACCTCTTGCTGAACGCCTCGTCGTTCGTCTTGAACTTCTCCGCCTCGCTGATCATCGTCTCGATCTCGGAGCTCGACAGCTTGCCCACAGAGTTCGAGATGGTGATGTTGGCGCTCCGTCCAGAGGTTTTCTCCGTCGCGACTACTTTCAATATGCCGTTCACGTCGACTTCGAAGATGACCTCGAGGACTGGCTCGCCCGCCTTCATCGGGGGGATTGGCGCAAGAGTGAACTCGCCCAGGCTCGTGTTATCAGAACAATTGGTGCGCTCGCCCTGCAGTGGGTCAGCGATGTTGTTTCGTGATAGAATGAAGGTCGGAGATCAAACCTGGAAAATTGGGAATTGAACGGTTTGCTCTGTCGGGGATGTCAGCAATCAAGGCACAGAGTGTTGTAGGAAGGAGAAACTTACGAGAATCGGCCACCGTTGTAAATGTCCGCTGAGTTGTGTTAGCTGATGGATGATCCACAGAGGTTGAAGAAAGCCGTAATGTTGAACAAATGAAAGAAATGCGTGATAATGAACAAATGAAACCCGTGGTGTCGGACGCCGTCCAAAATGTGAGCAAATGTGAAAATGGTGGTAAAGATGTTGAGCAGATGTCGTGATAGCAATGTTGGTGTCGTGTTTCTTAGGTTGACGCCGCAAGCGCAGCCTCCTTCTCCTTGTGCCTCGAGCCCTTCTCGTGATTCCTCAGCTCCTTGCGCGTCTCAAAACCCTTGTCGCAGGTGAGGCAGCGGAAGTCGAACGTGACGCCGGGTTCAATCTTTGCGACCCGGATCTTGTGGCTTTCTGGAGTTGTTGTGCCTTGGGAGTTCGTAAGGCTTCGTATAGGTGATGTCGCAGATGTCGCAGTGCCAGATCTTGGCTTCCAGCCGCCTCGCCTTGAAGTTTGCCTGGTGTTCCCTCATCCGGGCTCTGTGTTCGGGAGCTCCAACAGGCTCCACCTTGACGCCGAGGGCCTCCAGATTGATCTTGTGCTCCTTGGTTGCCTTGTGAGCAAGCCAGGACTTGGTGTCGCTGCCGTTGAAACCCCAGGGCTCGCAGTCAAAGTCGTCGATGCCGGCAGCCTGGTTTGCAGCGCGGTCCTTGTGTGCACCGGTATTTTCGTGTCGTTCAAGAACATTGGCATCCGGGCAAACGAGGTCGCAGACCTCGCAGTAAAACTCCTTGGACTCCTGAGCCGTGGCCTTTTTGGCCCTCCAACCTGCCTTCCTCTTCACGCGTGCCTTGTCGTGGCGAATCGGGTTGGCTTTCAGGCGGATGGTGGATGATCCACGACGCGGGACAGTGGGAACGCTGAGGCAAAGGAGTGGAAGTCTGGCTGTAGTTGGACGGCGTTCAAACGAGTGACGGAGGCAGCTGAGAAGCCTCGAGGATGAGGAGGCAGAAGTGAGTGTGAAGGATGAAGGGAGGCCGAGGTGAGGTGGTCCAGGTGAGGATGTCGAGGATGAAGGGAGGAGATCCAGTCCAGGTGAGAAGGTCCAGGTAGATCCAGGCAGACATGGCCGAGGTGGGCAGGCGCGCGCCCATACTTACCGTGGGTTTCATGGGGGAAGGAACGGAAAGAAACGTCCGGAGTGGAAGGGGGAGGAACAAAAATTGAAAAAAGCACGGACCCTGAACACCAAAAATGTTAGCAAAAATGATCGTGAGGTTATTACTGAGTTATTACAAGACAGCAGGGATTTTTCAACCGCTGTTGAAACAATTGAGCTCGAAAATTGAGGCAAAACTTGTGACGTTTGGGTGATTGGGTGGTGGAGGATTTTTCAACCGTGGTTGAAGTGTTGGAGTGACGGAAAAGCACAAGACATACTTGCGAAGAGCGGGCACTGTTGTTCCACGAGGAATCACACTAGCAAATATGTTTCCCTATTTCGGTCAGTCATGTATTCGGTGAAGGAGAACAGTAGGTATGATTCCTTACCTCCATGGCGACTCCGAGACTCAAGGGAACGACATCGAGGAGCAGCAAGTCGGCAGTGTCGGCGGATGTGGCCTTTCCGGAGATGATACCCGCTTCTACAAGTTGTCAGTAGTCTGCAAACAAAGAAAGGCAGGAAAATGCGTACGAACGGCAGCCCCAAATGCCACAGCTTCATCGGGATTGATGGACTTCTCGAGCTTCTTGCCGTCAAAGTAGTCCGAAAGGAGTTTCTGGATCTTGGGGATGCGGGTGGAGCCGCCGACAAGGACGATCTCATCAACGGCAGACTTCTCAATAGCTGCGTCCTTCAGAACCTGAGCGACGGGCTCCAGGGTGCCCGCGAAGGCCTTGGCGTTGAGATCCTCGAATCGAGCACGAGTGATTTGGACAGTGAAATCCTCGCCGTCAAACAAGGAGTCAATCTCAATGAGGGCCTGAGCACCACTGGACAGAGTGCGCTTGGCGCGTTCACAGGCGGTGCGCAGGCGGCGCAGCGCGCGGGCATCAGCAGAGAGGTCTTTCTTAGTCTTGCGATTGAACTCCTTCTTGCAGTGTTCGAGAAGGTTGGTATCAAAGTCTTGGCCGCCGAGATGGGTATCTCCGGCAGTGGCGCGGACAGTAAAGACCCCACCCTGGATGTTAAGAAGGGACACATCAAAGGTACCGCCACCAAGATCGTAGATCAGGACATTACGCTCCTTGTTGGACTTGTTGGATCCGAGACCGTAAGCAATGGCAGCAGCGGTGGGCTCGTTGATGATACGGAGGACGTTGAGGCCAGAGATGGAACCGGCATCCTTGGTGGCCTGACGCTGGTTGTCGTTGAAGTAGGCAGGGACGGTGATGACGGCCTTCTCGACCTTCTTGCCGAGCTTGGTCTCAGCAATCTCCTTCATCTGTAGGCCCAGTGTGTCAGCATTGAAACTTGTCGAGACTGCTCTGCATCGCCCGGCACGCATACCTTGACCAGAACCATGGCAGAGATCTCCTGGGGGGAGAACTGCTTGGTCTCGCCGAGGTACTCAACCTCGACCTTGGGGTTGCCGTTGTCATCGACGACCTTGAAGGGCCAGGACTCCTGGTCCTTCTTGACGGTGGGGTCATCGTAGCGACGACCGATCAACCGCCTGAGTGAGACGGCAAGTCAGTACATGAGATGTCCAGCTGCGGGGGGTGGGGGAAACGAAGAGGAGCGTACTTGACGTCGAAGACGGTGTTGACGGGGTTCATGGCGGCCTGGTTCTTGGCAGCCTCACCGATTAACCGCTCCTCGGCCGTGAAGGACACGAAGGAGGGGGTGGTAAAAGAACCCTGCTCGTTGGCGATGATCTCAACATTGCTGCCCTCGTAGGTGGCCACGCAAGAGTAGGTGGTACCTGTTGTTGGTTGGAAGTCAGCAGTCTGGAGAAGGGTGTTGTCGCGCGAGGCCGCCGCGTCGCCCAACTGGCCAGGAGGGTTGCACGGCGAAGGGGCGTGGTGGGAACGTACCCAGATCAATGCCAATGGCACCGTCGTAGACTTCTTCCGCCATTTTGGATGATAAGAAAGGAAGTTGTCGGAAAGGCAGAGGTTGAGGTGTGGGATGGACAACGGCAGAAATCGAGGCAAGTTTTCAGAGGGCGGGAGGATGGGTTTTGAACCGGTCGAAAGCGTGGGGCTGGCGGCAAAAGAGAGTGCGCAGGAAATTTTGAAAATTTTCAACCAGGTGCACGAGCCAAGGTCGTTCACTCCTCGCTCCCCAGCTCCCAATACCAAGTGGGCTGTCCAGGCTTATCTTATCGGTCAGCGGAGTGTGCATGGGTGGGGAGTGGCCGCACGGCCGCCCACCCTACCCAGATCTGCCCCTCGGCTCGCTCTCAGAGGGACTGTAGTCTACCAGTACCTTTACAGTATCACACCGGTTTCCACAATGTAGGCGGTCAGCTTACTGCAGAATCTGCGCTACAAGAGGTGTTCGACGGACGTAGGAGCCTCAAGATTTGCCAGAGAAGGCTTGTTTTGGAATTACACGGACCCTACTGGTCCTTATTCTTTTCCCACCACAAGTATCGGCCTGTTAGAGCTAAAACGAGGTCAAGTGGGTACTCCTGCTCTTGCTGAGCCTCTCCACACGCCAGCCCTGCACGGTAGCTTTATGAGGGCGGCATCAAGTCTTTACCGGTCCTGCCAAATCGCGAATGGCTGAGCGTCGTCTGCCACTCCGAAAGTGGCCGCTCTGCATCTCCAACATGCTGCGCACAATCTCGCTATGCGTTAGTTGTCCCTCCGCCAGCCAGGCAGGCACGTATCGTGAGACAAGATATTTCAATAGGCACATGCTCACGGAGCGAGAGAGACGACAGGCTCCTAGTACTGCTTCATAACGTTCGCAAGGATAGTAATCTTCTCAAGCACCGCGTCGGAGCCGTTGGGCAGCTTCTGACCTTTCGGCAGCGCGGCAATCATTTGTAGCACAACGGTGTTGACGCCTTGGTGGAGCTGTGCATCGTACAGGAGTTCTCCATTCTGGATCGTGTCTCGCGGGGTTGGAACTCCGCGAGCGAGAGTCTGTCCATTGACGACCACGTAGAGCTTGTACGGGCGTTGCTGCTGCTCGAGAACCGGCGACACGCGTGGCACGATCTGCAGCTTCCACTGGTTGGCGGCTAGATTAACCGTGAAAGACTGCTGCAATAATTTCGGATGGGGAGGCACGTTAAAAACAAACTGCTTGTCCGCGCCGTTGTCTGGTGGCGTGCGTAAACACAGGTTGGCCAGGCTTGCCTCCGACAGACCTGTGAGGGAGTCAGAAAGGGGTGCCCGTATCTTGCCGTGAGCTCCAGACTTACCCACTCCCGCACACCGGAATGTGAAGTCGTACAATGCAGCCGCTTGTTGCTGTTGTCCGGGCACGTGTCCGTTGGGTGGGCCATGCTGAGGCGCAGGCTGGCCCAGGCCGCTGACCGGGGGTAGCATCACAGGCCGGAAGGCACTTGAGCTGTAGCCGTTGTTCATCGGGGGTGGAACAGTCGGAGATGCCCTGTTGGAGTCCTCTCGCTTCATCACCGCAGATGGTGTACCGGGCCCAGGGACCTGGGTCAGGTTCGCCGCCGCTGGGTTGACGGGAGCCGGCCGTGTGGTAGCTCCATTGACAGCTCCCTCGACAGTCCCCTGGGCTGGGCCGGGATGAGACGCCTGTGGCGCCGGGGATCCCTGTGAGCCCTCTCTGCCGCCGCCGACGTGGATAGTGATTCGTTTGGGTCGCCCAGACTGGGCCTGCGGCGTCTGCGCTGAGGGCGCTCTCAAGATGATCTTAGGTTGAGGCGGTTCCTCTACGCATCCCTTGGCCTCATTGAGCTGCTCGTAGAAGGCGTCCTGAGAAGTGTTAGATCCGCCGGCGGCATCCATGGGGTGGGCTGTGGTATTCTGGCTTACTTTGAGCTCTTTGGCCAGCTCGAAGATCTCACTGCCTTCCTCGTTGTAGTAGAACGCGTTGCTCCAGAGCAAACTCGCCTTTTCTTCTAGAGCCGCCCAACTCTTGAACTCGCTGACTCCTGTTGCTCCAGCTCTACCAACCATGCCTTTGATGGCCCGCCAGAGCTTCTTCAGGGACATTGGCTCGTCGATGAGTTGGTAGTAGTCTTTCAATGACTTGGGGGGCAAGTTTATGAAGGGCTCAAAGTATGGCCATTCATCACTGGTCTGTTAGCCAAATGCTGCCTCGCTCGCTCGGAACCAGTAACGTACTCTTCTTCCTGGCGCGTCGATAACTCGTCCACCAGCTTCTCCTGAGCCTGCTGGAAGCTGAGACCCTGGTAGGGCACCTCCGAAAACTGTGCGCCGCCCTTGTTTTCGCTTGTCGATCGCGCGTCCGGCGTGCCTTCTGTCTCGTTCGAGCGTGCTCCGCGCCTCTTGAGCACTATCCGAGTGTTGGATCCCCGGCTGATGTCTGCGTCGCCTTCAGCGGCCTCGCCGTCATCGGCCTCGCCTTCAGCATCGGCGTCGGGCATTTCCTCATCTTCGCCCTCGGCATCCTCCTCGCCCGAAGGGTGCTGAGGTTGTAGTGGCCGCGGGGGTCGAGAGGCCACGTCGCTGGCCGCCAGTTCGGAGGGCATGTCCTCTGCTGTAATCTCGGCATCGACGTCCCAGTCCGGAGGGGCCGGGGCTGGGGTCGCGGCGTAGTTTGTAATTTTCTTGTACGCCGGGTTCGTCTTGACCATGTAGTTGCTGGTGGCTTTCCTCACGCGTTCGGCGTCTTCGTAAGTCTGTGAGCCACGCGAGTAGAATTCCTTTGCATTGTTGACCATGCGCTTCATCCAGCTTTCCAACTGTGTCATGTTCGCCAGCTCGTGCCGGTACAGTCTGCGCTCGATCACCCGGAGTGACACTGGCATGTGGATCCTCCGGTAATAGTCCTCATTGCCCTCCCTGGGCAAGAGCTTCTCGAAGTAGCCCGCGACTCCTCGTCCACTATTGTGAGACCAAAATGTCAGAAAGAAATTGGACAATGCAGGATTGGGGCACGCATATCACGAGAGTGCCACAGCGAGTCATGATAGCGGGAGGCCGCGCTGCCATGACCGCAGTGCGTCGCAACAGTAGCGCATGGGCAGGCACGGGTTTCCGACGTACTGTTTGTCGGCCGTCTTTCGTATTGCTTCGAGAAAAGCCAGGCCGTAGGCGGTGGTGGACTCGGGGGATTCGTGCTTTGCCAGATCTGGGAAGTCCTGATGCAGGTTTCAACGTGGTTAGCCGTGCATGCGTGGAGGGTGTCTTGGGCCTGCATCCCATGCAAGAGTCGCGACGCAGATGTTGAACGCCGCTTGAAGCGGGGGCAGGGGAAATGCAGATGATATGTATGATGAGACGGCCGGCCCCCCGGCGGATGGGGATGGGGAGAGGAGCTGGGCAGGAAGAGCCGCGGTCGGGCGTGCGCGACTGAGCTGAGAGGGACCTGCACAAAGGCGTGCACGCGCGACCAAGATGGATTTCGAGCCGACGGACTTCGCAGCGGTGGACCACGGCGCGGACCACCAGAGACAAGATGGATTGTCGCCGCACACAAATGACAGGACCAAACTCACCGAAGGTAACTTGCGCCTCTTCGCTGCGGGCTCACCACCGTCGGCGCCGCCTCCTCGGCCAGCGGCGCTTGCCTTGCGCTTGGTCTCCATGGTACTAGAGTGCAATGATGTCGGCTGATATCGAATTGGTCTCCGGATGACTGCTCTTGGGGATCAATGGGGTTATAGGGCCAGAATCCGCCGGAACATAGTATTGCTTGTGGGGTTGGCAGAGTGGCTCCTGTCACGTCGCGCGATTGGAGATCCTAGAGTGCAGCGTAGCGTAGCGAAGCGCAGCGCAGCGCCGCAGATTGGAGGACGACCTGCTTGAGCTTGTTACCTGCCTTCAATGCTCAGTGGACGCGACGGCAACACTTCGAGGGCGGTCTGCTGTAGGGAAGTGGCAGCCCTTGCACGCAACAGCCCGCAACTCGAAATGCAAGCGTCCAACATCAACGGAAGTTCTGCAGAATACGAGAGAAATGCGCGGTTCCAAACCAGTGTGATTCAACGTTGTTAGGCTCATTCTTCAACCGAGTGTACGGCGCGACTGGCCTGTCAGCAACTCCTAGACTGCAAGGGAGCTTCCAGGGTCAGGTGATTTGGGTTGATTGCGATCCAGGCCGAGGCGCTTGGACCAGCACTTGTGGTGCGGGCAGGGGCGTTTGGCCCCTAAGGGCCCTAGATAGGCAATTTTTAGCTCCGGAGGTAGACTTAGACCTATTTAAGCAATACACACCCCGAATCCCCCAACTTCCTTGCACTGTTTATAGTGCAATATATCTTCTTATATAAGTTAAAAAGTTTCATAAAGGTTTTGCTAAGACTTATATTAAGAAAGCCTATCCTTTAATTTAAATCTTAAAATTAAAGCTAAGTATGAATTAAAAAGCTTGCATAATAAGAATAAATTAACTAAGCTCTTAAGTTTAAATAAAGCCAAAGCCTATATTATTAAAACAGCGCTGCGCTAAGCTTACGCTATTATATTAATTAAATTATTAAATTCCTTAAATTTACCTGCCTTATTTTCTTTATTTCCGCATATCTTTAAGTTAAGGTAGTAGAGTTTCGCTTAGCTAAGTATATACTCTTCCCTTAAGTAATAAATCTAGATCTTAAGATTGCAATTTAGGGAATAAATTAATAAATTAATTATGCTTATTATATGCTTTAGTTTATAACTTCCTTAAGGATTTTATTGCCTTATTAATGCTAAGGGTAAAGCAACTTATATTAATAAAGAAGCATAAAGTATATTAAGAAGCCTTATTAAGGTTTAAGATATTATTAAGGGGATGGATAGGAATAAATAACCTAAACTTTAAATTACCATTACTAAATCTAAATTTAAAACCTAAGAACCTTATCTTAAAGCTTACTTTTTTATTATTATAGGAAAAACTTTAAAATTGCTTAAACCTAAATAATTCCTTTCTTAGCTATTTAATATTAAATTATAATAGCTTGCTTAAATTTAAAACCCTTTTATTATATTTAATAAAATTCTTAAATTATTTTATTATATTTCCTTTTTTTATTAATATTTTCTTAAGATTTTTAAGAAAAAGCTTAAAGAAATATATTAATAATATAAAGTTATATAGCATAAGGGTAGTATTTAATAATAAGGCCCTTAAGGTTTAAGAGATAGGGGTAGTTTTTTATTTTAAGTTAAAGGGTGCAGTTAGGATTAATTAATACTTAAAACTTGCTTTAAATAAATAAGCTTAGCTTAAAGTTTTTACTCTTTTTAAGAATTGCTTTTAAATAAGAATTATTAATTTAAACCATAAAATTAAAACTTAGGTATATACCTTTGCTTGCAAATCCGTAAAGTTAATTTTAAAGTATATATATTGGGCTATTAAGCTATTTTATTAATATAAGGGAGAATAATCTTAAAAGTTGGTTTATTAGCTATTTTCTTACCTTTTTAGCTAAAAGGGAGGTAAATTTTATAATAAGGGTTAAAGGATTTAAGAATTAATTGCAACTTAATTATATATAAATAAAAAGATAAAAAGTAATAATATTTTAATTAAAGAATGCATATTTAATAAGATCTACTAATATATTATTAATTATTACCTTTCGCTTAATTTTAAAATAAACCCCTTCTTAAAAAATAAGGCAATAAATAAGACTCTTATAAATTAAGATTAGGTTATAAGCTAAATAATAAGTATTATAAAGATAATATATAACTAAATTATAAAGATGTAATTAGCGCTAAGCTTACCAGCTTATTTTATTATAAATTAAGAATTTAACTATAGTGCTTAGTGGAGTGCGGGATAATAATTATAAATTAAAGCGATAAGTTGGGGATAAAACTTAGTAGGTGGGCTTGCTTATATCCCCTTAAGTTAAAATGATTAAATATAGCAATTATTAATTTATAATGATTATGCAAGCTAGGGCTTTATGCAAGGAAGATAAGGTAGCTATGGTACCTCTTACTTTTAAATAGAAAGTTAGGGTTTTATATAAATATATTATAATTATAATAAGGAAGGATATAATATTTAAGCTTACCTTTATCTTAATTAATTATTTAGTTAAATTAATAAAATTAAGTTAAAAATTAAAGCTAAAAAGCCTATTCCTAATGATTTATGCCCCCTTAAATATGCAGCCTAGGCTTAAGCTTAAGTTATGGAAATACCCGCTAAGATGTTATTATTAAAGGATTCCTTAAAATTAAAAGAAGCAATAAGTGGCGTGCTTAATGCATAAAAGGCATGGATTTAAATAAAAAGGGAAGTTTGCTTATTAGCAATTAAAAATAAGCAAACCTAAACTAAGGCCTTGCTAAGAAATAATAAGTATTTATATAAGGCTTATTAACTCACTACCTTATTTACACTAAGGAATGCGATATAACTTAATTTCTTATACTTAACAAGAAATAAAGACTTAAAGATAAAAAAGCGTTAAGAAACCTTAATAAAGCTTAAGAAAGTATTTAAGAAAACCTTAATAGGTAAGTTAAATTAAAAGGCTCCTAAGGAGATTATCCTTATTTAAGGGATTAATAAATAGGATAGCAATAAATTTAATATTAAGTCCTTATTATAAGGTATGGAAGTTAAGTTAAGTTTAGCTTAACTCTTAAATTAATTCCCTTTATTAAGAACTTAAATAATATATAAGCTAAGCACTTAATTTAATAAATATTAGGGATATTAATTTAAAGAAAAGAAAGGTAAGAAAAAGGTTATAAATGCGGCTAAAAAGCTAATATATTATAATAAGTCCTTCCTTAAAATTAAGACTTTAACTTTAAGGTATATTAAGAGTAATATAGCTAGCATTAATATAAATTAGCTTATAATAAATAATAGTTCCTTAGGAAAATTAATTAAATTAAAGATGGTATAGCGTTTTAACTTAGTTATAAGAAAGGTTAAGCAGGAAATATACCTTAAGTTAGCTAATAATTTAATAGCCCTTATTTACTATTATATTAATATCCTTATTATAATTAAAGGGATTTTAATTATGTATTAGGCTTATATTATTAAGAATAATGATACTTATAATATAATATTAAGTTAAACCTAGCTATAAAGAAATTAAGTAATTATTAATTATAATTTAAATATATTAACCTTAAAGGGTTAAATAGGTATTAAGAGCATTATAAAGTTTGCTAAGGTAAACTCCTTAATACTTAAATTATTAAAATTAAATTAAAAGGGCTTAAAGGAAGGTAATAAAGGTAATTCCTTGGATAATAAGAGTAATCTTTTAAATAAAGATAATAAGTTTTTAGTGAATTTACGCTATGCTAAGTTAATAACCTTCTTGGCTAATATAAAATTAATAAAGATATTAAAATATAATAAAGATGCTAAGATATGGGATAATGGCAAGTCCTTAATATAAACTTGAAATGATAAGGTAAAAAATAAATTGGCAACCTTTAGCCTTAAAAGGGTTTATTAAACTTAATTTATAGGAAGGGGTAGAGTATTTTTAAATGCATTTAGTTTGCAAACTTAATTAAGTATATTAATTGCTTGCCATTTTAAGATTATAATTAAATAATTAAGCTATTATTCCTTATTATTAAACCTAAATTAAAGATTATAATAGTAGTATTTACCTTATTAACTTTATTAGCATATATCCCTATGGATAAGAAGGAGGCTTATAATGCAACAAGCTTATATTTAGTTAACTAATTACTAAAAATAAATAAACCTTAATAAGGTTAAAAAAAGGATAATGGTGAGATTATAGCATTAGCCTTAACTTTAAATAATAAGAATAAAATAATAAAGAAGGAAAATTAATTAGCTTTCCTTATATAAAACCTAGATATTTATAATAATATAAATTAAGCTTTATTTGCTTTAAAAAAATAGGATTAAGGTAAGTAGGCCCTTAATATTATATTTAAAGATTTAAACTAAATTAAGAAGGATTTATTATTAAATTTAGCTATCTTTATTAAGGAATAAGGGCTAGGGGGGAAGTTAATGCTTCTAAGTATAGTTGGAAAGGTAATAACTAAGGCTATATATAAGTTAATATTATAAGGGATTCACTTAAATTAGGATATTAAAAGGCGCCCTCTTTAATGATTATTATTGAAAGAGAGTTAATTAATAATTAATAGTTAGTTTAAGAAGATAGGCATTGCTTTAAGCGATGCGGTAAATAGCTAATAATGCTAAGATTAAGCTTAGAGGTTAATGTATACTTAAAGGGATTATTTTATATTATCTTTAAATAAAATTAAAACTATAAACTTAATTAACTACATTATTAAACTATTGCTTAATATCTTATTATATTAATTAAAATAGCTATTATATTTAAGGAAATAGCATTAATTTGCCTTAAAGTTCTTTTAAAAGCTAAAAAGAGCTAAATAAATATAATTAGCAATTAAATTATAAGCAGCATATATTAAGTTCCCACCTAAGGCTAATACTTTTAAAGTAATATTTAATTATCAACCCATAAATAATGCAACCTTATTACCTTAATGGCCTTATTATAATTAAGCTTATATTTTTAAGGATATTCTTTAATTAAGCTATGGGGTTTTCTTTTAAAGGGATGCAGCGCATAAATACTACAAGGTAATAATAATTTTA